TGGAAGGTGTCCCTGCCCATGGCGGGGGGGTTGGAACTAGATGATCTCTGAGGTCTCTTCCAACCCAAACCCTTCTGTGATTCTATGATTCTGTTCAGTAGGTGCAAGTAACAGTGAATTTTAGACAATTAAATTTTGTGATATGGTAGATCTGTAATAGTGAAATAATGTTGGCTGTTCAACCTGGGAATTCTTTAAGACTTCAAAAAGTACTGTATTTGAGCTGTAGGACATCATTTTTGCTGGAAGAAAATGACGTATTGAGTCTAGCTGAAAATTAGTGTCCAGGTGCTGGCGGTGGTTATTCAGGATCTGCCTTAGAAATCAGTAACTGTGCTCCAGTCAAGTTGTTTTCTTTCAATAGGTTCACTGGTCTCCTCATAACGAAACAATTCTTGCTTCAAGTGGTACTGATCGTCGGCTTAATGTGTGGGATCTGAGGTGAAGAGCATCTCCTTTCTTTTAGTATATATGAACAGATGGTAGACAAAAAAGAAAGGGCTGCAGACCTGCGTGATTTGGTAGACTTGGTTTGTGCCTTATGCACTTAACTCGGACCCGGTCTTTTGGGTGTACAGTAGAAGCAGCCCAGTATGTGTGTAACATTCTAGTGTTCCTTCTCTGTGAGGATTTCGTGCTGTAGACTTGTTCCCTGTTGTCCTTAGTAATAAGTGATTTCTGCCTCCGTTTGCTTGGCAGGTTGGATTCTATTTCAGTAATGGTAACACCGAACAGTGAATGTTTTATACCCGAGACTTGTAGTTACCTGACAGTGAGAAAAAACAATTGTAAAAGCAAATACTGGAAGCAGAGGCTAGGAACTGTGAAGTTAAGCTGATAGGGGATTCAATTGTCATCCTTAATAAAAAGTGTAAACCACTTTCTTACAGTAAAATTGGAGAAGAGCAGTCTGCAGAGGACGCAGAAGATGGGCCTCCTGAACTGCTGGTACGCTTTTGTTCTGTTTTCAGTCTGCTGCCGTGCCCTGTGGCGGTGCGGTGCCTTGCGACTGTGCCGCTGAACTGCAGCGGTTCTTCAGTCTCTTCACCTCCCTTGTTTTCCATCCGTTGCTGTAACTCGCAGTCGGCTTCCTCTGTTGGGTTCCGAAAGCAGTGATTTTTTTTCAAGCTGTCCTGGACACGATTTACACGTCTGTATTGTTGAACACGTTTACGGTTCGGCCGTGTGCCTGTCGGTACTCTTTTGTTGAGGCCTCCTTCAAACTGTTTGTCTTGCATTAAAGCAGTCAGGGCCCATACAGGTAACCTTACGGATGTAGAAACTACAAAGACTTTTGGGTTTGGGTTTGCTTCCTTAGGAAACAAACAATTAAAAATGCTTGTCGTTTGGTTTCCCCATTTCCTGAGGAACTGCATAGGTGCTCCTATAATTAGATGAGGTAAGGGGTATGAAATACAGCTGGATTTCACAGCCCAGCCTTGTGTGAGGTAGCACCGTTTGGAGGATGCCAGTCAGTTGTTGCCACGATAACGTGAAGTGTCGTCTTAAATGCTGTCCCAGCGATTGCAGCCGTGTGGGGAAGCAGTGACCGGGGCATGCCGTTTCACACGGCCGAATTGTGAATCTCTAGTAGCGAGTTTGTCATCCTTGTGTGGTTGTTAGCGTGGTGAACTGAACTTCTGAATCTTGGGGTTTAACAGATTTCTCTCCTGAGCTGAAATGGCTTACTGAAGCTTGTGGGTTTTTTAACAGTTTATTCATGGAGGACACACTGCCAAAATTTCAGACTTTAGTTGGAATCCTAATGAGCCCTGGGTAATCTGTTCCGTATCGGAGGACAACATAATGCAGATATGGCAAATGGTGAGTGTCACAACAGCTCCCGCGTTGCTCTGAAGCTTCTTGCGTGAACGAAACTGAAGTGGCTTGTTCTCAGGGCGGCTCGTGCCTGCAGCGACTGAAAGCAGTCTGTCCCCTGCGCTCCTTAACGCTGGTTGGTTGGGGGGTGAGACTTGGAAAGAAAACAGAGACTAAAACAACCCGAATAAATGCAGCTGCTAGCTAATTCTTGACTCCAGGGTTGGGTACTCGCTAATACCAAGAGTACATGTGGCGGCTGCGAACTTACATCCAACACTAGCCAAGACTTCTTCTCCCCCCGCTGCTCCCCTGCCTGTTGACTGTGAAGCAAGATGCCTTTTAACTCTCCAGTTGGTTGACATTGTTTCACATTATACAGGAGTTTGATCAGTTGTCTTACAAATGTGGGATAAAGTCTCTTGGGAGTAATTTAAGTTAATGAAATGTAACAGACTTAAGTGTGCGTCACAGGTCAGGCTTTTGGGTTTTTTCATATCTCTTCTTTAACTTGTTTTGTGTGTTCAGACAGAGGTTGAAATAAGTCCAAGTAAAAGGTTGACGGTAAGGCTGATGGTTTAAAGGGGTAATGCTTGCTGCCCAAATCGAATGGCGTGAGAACACAGCTGCTGAGCTCCAGCCCCTGTGTGTGCGTTCCTCAGGCTGCTGCCCTTTGAGAAAGGGCCGGGGGAAGGCCCCCTTAAGGAGGGGGTGGTGTCTGTGCCTCCTCGGTATTGACAAGGCGTTTTCTGTATGAAGTGTAGAAGACTGTTTAAAAACAATTGTGTCTGCCACTTGTAACGTAATGTTTTATGTCTTCAGGCAGAAAACATTTACAATGATGAAGAACCAGATATAGCAGCAGCTGAACTGGAAGGTCAAGGAACATAACTCTTCTTCCTGAAGGAAATACTGGCTGTGACATAGTAATATAATTAGATTATTGTATACATTTTAAAGAAAAAACCTTCCCCCCCCGTGCCCCGAAAACCAAAACAACAAAAAAAACCTCAAAACCAACCAAAAAACCAAGAAGCTTGTACAGTCAAGTTGTCTGAGACACCCTGGGTTATTTGGGCACTGCGAGCGCTTGTACACTGTACAGCCATTAGCTTTTAGGGAAAAGAGGGATGACTTCATACCTGTACCGGTCTTTTTAAACAGACTTAGTGGGTTCCTGTAACTAAACCAGTCCAACCCTCACTCTTCCCACACAAAGCGCGCAAAAGAACTTTTTATGTAATAAATATGTAAAAAGAGCTTTTCACTTTTACACAACACTTTTGGATTGGCTTTGCATAAATAAAATGTACGAAATAAAATGATTGGTGTGTTTAGTGGCAAGTGACAGAGGGTGAATGCCTTCTTGCCTGAATAGAACTTAATTTCTGCGCGGTAATAGAGGTAGTTCTTAGTTTGTAACTAAGTTAAAGGTCTGGGGAGATGAGCGTCATCTTGATGCAAAAAACATGGAATAGGTAAGTTGGGTCCTTCATGAGCAGGGTGGGTGTAGAAAGAGGAGTGGGGAACGCATGGGGAAGAACAGCCCGACTCCTGTGAAGTTCAAGATCCAAGTATCTGTCGGGTGGGGGTTTGGGTGGTTTGGGTTTTTGGCGTGGTGGTAGAAGCGCTGTCCTTGACCTCGTCTTGGGTGCTAAGGTGGCAATGTGGTCTCAGCGAATTGGTATTGCCTGTGTTTAGTCAGAGCCCTCCTGTGGCTTTTCTGATTAAAGTGATGGAAGGTAATCAGGCAGGTGTCTGAAATACACCGACATCCGAGCGAGTATACGAGACCAACGTACAGATTGCTGCTAAACCTCCGCCTGACTGAGCTGGAGAATTTGGACAGTGTAAGTAAAATATCTCCGTATTTCTCATGTTCTACAGGCAAGTTACGGATCACCTTGGGAGCTGTCAGTCAGATCTAAGTCGGTGTCTAACTTGAGTTTAAATTAAAGCTTATAGTTACTTAAGACAGGCCTTAATTAAATGGATATTTGGCTGTCCTGATCTTTCTGCTCAAGCTGAGAAAAATGGAAAGGCTTTGGTGACTGATACTGACAATGCGATTTCTTTGATGTAGAAAATGTTACTTCCCCTGGTGCACGTCTTGCTCTTGTCTTTATTTGAATTTTAACAAGTTCGCAGGCTCCTGGGCTCAAGGTGTGCACCCGAAGGTACCTGTCCCGGGTCTGGCTGCGGTGGAGTTCGCTGCCATCCCAGAAGGGGACGTGGTGCTGTGTTTCGGATCTGTGGCTGGGTCGGTGGTGGTGATGTGCCTGCGTTGTGGCTATTGCTGGGCAGTGAATGCACCCCACGTAGGCTGGGGGTGGGCACGAGGTGGGGAGGGGACACAGCCAGGGAAGCGGACCTGAGTTGGCCAAAGGGGATATTCCTTGCCAAATGAATAAAAATGAGGTAGAGGAAGAAAGGGGCCTCTGGTGGTGGCCGTTGCTTGGAGGCTGGCAGGGCATTAGCCTGCTTCTGGCAGGTGGCAAGTGATTTCACTTTTGTTTTCTTCCCCTTTTTCTCTCTCACCCACCTATTAAACTGTCTTTCATCTCTGTGAGATTTTCTTCTTCCTGCTCTCTCTGCCCTGCTGAGGGGGGGTGAGTGAGCACCTGCGTGGGTGCTTAGCTGCTGGCCAGGGTCAACCCCCACCCCCATTTCATGAATGGAAAGCTGCTATTTGAGGTCAATATTTCCATTTTTAGGAGTGAGAGTTGAATAAATACGAGTTTCGATTTGGCTCCCTTTATGTTCTGTCTGGGAATGTGATAGGCTGGACAGTCCCTAGGTCCAGTAGACCAGCGTAACGTCACATCTCATTCCTAAAAGCGTTGGTACCTGGGAGTAGGGTGAGAACAAACCAAAGATGGTTTTGACAAGGGAGCAAATTCATTTTCCCTGAGACGATGGGGTACTTGTGCTGCAGTATTGATTACCATGCAACCACAGCTAGCCCTTTCCAGGACAGAGGTGGCAGCTATTAGCTGGAACTTGACTATAGACATCTGTGGTTCAGCCTGTTGTTCCTCAGGGAAGGAGCCTGGCTGTGTCTCACCTGGTCATCGTCTGCAGCAGATACTATCCCTGTGCTGGTGCTGTGAGGGAATGGCTGTGCAGCAAAGGCATTGCTAACTTTCCTGTTTACTGGTTGGCTAATGGTCATTCAGCTGAGAGTCAACATCTGTTGACAAAGTCTTGTAAGCAGGCTGGCAGTTTTCTCTCCCTTGCCTCACAGGAAGGGCTCAACAATGATATCTGAGGGGAACTCTAGATGCTAAATAATTCGCAAGTGACAGCAAATGATAAGCATTAATCATGCTGAACTTGGGGAAGGCTTTTGGTCAGGTCCTACTTCCTTTTGACATTTCATTCTGACATACACAGCTCTTGAAAAGTAGGAAATGAAGAGGTCAGGCGCCTGACTGCTACTGGAAAAACAAAAGTGCTTCCCCAAGAGCATGGTGGTGGCCCTTCCAGGGACAGATACAGCTGTGGGCTATTACACGACCCCTCCCGCTGCTGGTACTCTTCAAGGAGACCTACTGGCTGCTTTGCACCAGCAGGTACAATGCGGTTCACCCCTAGAATTAGTGATTTCAGCTTTGTGCGTCTATTCTGGTTGGGGTCGTGTGCTGGAGTCTTCTCACTGCCTCACTAACCAAATGGGAGTGGGAAGGAGGGGTGAACTACTAATTGCAGCTCTCTTCTCGTTGCTCTTCTTACTGCTACTTGTTTTTATTTCTTCTCCTGCTGTTACTAGGACTGCTCCCCACCTTGCCCCTCCCCCCCTCGGCTTTGTAGACACTGGGTCATCATGCATAGACATGTCTCCTTCCACACCCTTGTCCAGAACGATTCCTCTAAAAGTGATGCAGGTAGCTGCAAAAGCAGTCGACTGTCAACTGTTCCTGTGGAAGGCTGGGGCGCTCGTGG